CCTCTACACCAGTCACCCTCTACACCCACTACACCAGTCACCCTCTACACCCTCTACACCAGTCAACCTCTACACCCACTACACCAGTCACCCTCTACACCCACTACACCAGTCACCCTCTACACCCTCTACACCAGTCACCCTCTACACCCACTACACCAGTCACCCTCTACACCCACTACACCAGTCACCCTCTACACCCTCTACACCAGTCACCCTCTACATCAGTCACCCTCTACACCCACTACATCAGTCACCCTCTACATCAGTCACCCTCTACACCCACTACACCAGTCACCATCTACATCAGTCACCCTCTACACCAGTCACCCTCTACACCCACTACACCAGTCACCCTCTACACCCTCAACACCAGTCACCCTCTACACCCACTACACCAGTCACCCTCTACACCCACTACACCAGTCACCCTCTACACCCACTACACCAGTCACCCTCTACACCCACTACACCAGTCACCCTCTACACCCTCTACACCAGTCACCCTCTACATCAGTCACCCTCTACACCCACTACATCAGTCACCCTCTACATCAGTCACCCTCTACACCCACTACATCAGTCACCCTCTACATCAGTCACCCTCTACACCCACTACACCAGTCACCTTCTACACCCACTACACCAGTCACCCTCTACACCCTCTACACCAGTCACCCTCTACACCCACTACACCAGTCACCCTCTACACCCACTACACCAGTCACCCTCTACACCCTCTACACCAGTCACCCTCTACACCCACTACACCAGTCACCCTCTACACCCACTACACCAGTCACCCTCTACACCCACTACACCAGTCACCCTCTACACCCACTACACCAGTCACCCTCTACACCCACTACACCAGTCACCCTCTACACCCTCTACACCAGTCACCCTCTACACCCAGTCACCCTCTACATCTCACCCTCTACACCCACTACACCAGTCACCCTCTACACCCACTACACCAGTCACCCTCTACACCCTCTACACCCAATACACCAGTCACCCTCTACACCCACTACACCAGTCACCCTCTACACCCACTACACCAGTCACCCTCTACACCCACTACACCAGTCACCATCTACACCCTCTACACCAGTCACCCTCTACACCCACTACACCAGTCACCCTCTACACCCTCTACACCAGTCACCCTCTACACCCACTACACCAATCACCCTCTACACCCTCTACACCAGTCACCTTCTACACCCACTACACCAGTCACCCTCTACACCCTCTACACCCACTACACCAGTCACCCTCTACACCAGTCACCCTCTACACCCTCTACACCAGTCACCCTCTACATCAGTCACCCTCTACACCCACTACACCAGTCACCCTCTACACCCACTACACCAGTCACCCTCTACACCCACTACACCTGTCACCTTCTACACCCTCTACACCAGTCTCCCTCTACACCCACTACACCAGTCACCCTCTACACCCTCTACACCAGTCACCCTCTACACCCACTACACCAGTCACCCTCTACACCCACTACACCAGTCACCTTCTACACCAGTCACCCTCTACACCCACTACACCAGTCACCCTCTACACCCACTACACCAGTCACCCTCTACACCAGTCACCCTCTACACCCACTACACCAGTCACCCTCTACACCCACTACACCAGTCACCCTCTACACCCACTACACCAGTATCCCTCTACACCCACTACACCAGTCACCCTCTACACCCACTACACCAGTCACCCTCTACACCCTCTACACCAGTCTCCCTCTACACCCACTACACCAGTCACCCTCTACACCCACTACACCAGTCACCTTCTACACCAGTCACCCTCTACACCCACTACACCAGTCACCCTCTACACCCTCTACACCAGTCACCTTCTACACCCACTACACCAGTCACCCTCTACACCCACTACACCAGTCACCCTCTACACCCTCTACACCAGTCACCCTCTACACCCACTACACCAGTCACCCTCTACACCAGTCACCCTCTACACCCTCTACACCAGTCACCCTCTACACCCACTACACCAGTCACCCTCTACACCCACTACACCAGTCACCCTCTACACCCACTACACCAGTCACCCTCTACTCCAGTCACCCTCTACACCCACTACACCAGTCACCCTCTACACCCACTACACCAGTCACCCTCTACACCCACTACACCAGTCACCCTCTACACCAGTCTCCCTCTACACCCACTACACCAGTCACCCTCTACACCCACTACACCAGTCACCCTCTACACCAGTCTCCCTCTACACCCACTACACCAGTCACCCTCTACACCAGTCTCCCTCTACACCCTCTACACCAGTCTCCCTCTACACCCACTACACCAGTCACCCTCTACACCCTCTACACCAGTCTCCCTCTACACCCACTACACCAGTCACCCTCTACACCCACTACACCAGTCACCCTCTACACCAGTCTCCCTCTACACCCACTACACCAGTCACCCTCTACACCCTCTACACCAGTCACCCTCTACACCCACTACACCAGTCACCCTCTACACCCACTACACCAGTCACCCTCTACACCAGTCACCTTCTACCTCCACTACACCAGTCACCCTCTACACCCTCAACACCAGTCACCCTCTACACCCTCTACACCAGTCACCTTCTACACCAGTCACCCTCTACACCCTCTACACCAGTCACCCTCTACACCCTCTTCACCAGTCAACTTCTACACCCACTACACCAGTCACCCTCTACACCCACTACACCAGTCACCCTCTACACCAGTCTCCCTCTACACCCACTACACCAGTCACCCTCTACACCCACTACACCAGTCACCCTCTACACCCACTACACCAGTCACCCTCTACACCCTCTACACCAGTCACCCTCTACACCCTCTACACCCACGGGATGCCAACACTGTCAATATAATACTCATATTAATACATCAAACACCCTTGCTTAGGACAACATTCCATAGATCTATTTCTTCAATCCCTAGAGCACATGAACCTGAAAATCTCCAACCAACAAAATCCTCCTTCCTTTTGTTTTTATAACTAATTTCGTTGGCAGCTCCACACCGGGGCTGCATACTCCATAACTGCTCTCACGTACGTAGTGTAGCGTGCGCTGAATATAACTCATTTTCGAGACTATTGATGTCTGTTCTGATGTTCTGCCGCTGACATTATTCTACTAAATACGCTTTTATTCTTATGTTTTTTTCTTCTGGCGAGTGAGGGAGGTGGTGGTGTGGAGAGAGAGAGAGAGAGAGAGAGAGAGAGAGAGAGAGAGAGAGAGAGAGAGAGAGAGAGAGAGAGAGAGAGAGAGAGAGAGAGAGAGAGAGGAGGGAGAGAGATAGAATGAATGAATACAAAGACCTGATGGAGGTATTTGCCTACACCCCCCCCCCCCCTCTTCCCTCACTCATCCCCCCCTCTTCTCTCACTCATCCCCTCCTCTTCTCTCACTCATCCCTCCTTCCATCCCTTCCTTCCCTCCCATGCCTCTACCTTCCTCTCTCTCTCCCTTCACCCTCTCCTACCTTCAGTGGCATACACTCGCTCATACACTCGGTTATACACTCGCTCATACACTCGCTCATACACTCGGTTATACACTCGCTCATACACTCGCTCATACACTCGCTCATACACTCGCTCATACACTCGCTCATACACTCGCTCATACACTCGCTCATACACTCGCTTATACACTCGCTCATACACTCGCTCATACACTCGCTCACACACTCGCTCATACACTCGCTCATACACTCGCTCATACTCTCGCTCATACTCTCGCTCATACACTCGCTCATACACTCGCTCATACTCTAGCTCATACTCTCGCTCACACTCGCTCATACTCTCGCTCATACTCTCGCTCACACTCGCTCATACACTCGCTCATACACTCGCTCATACTCTCGCTCATACACTCGCTCATACACTCGCTCACACACTCGCTCATACACTCGCTCATACACTCGCTCACACTCGCTCATACACTCGCTCACACACTCGCTCATACACTCGCTCATACACTCGCTCATACACTCGCTCATACACTCGCTCGCTACACACTCGCTCATACACTCGCTCGTACACTCGCTCATACACTCGCTCATACACTCGCTCCTTCACTCGCTCATACACTCGCTCAAACACTCGCTCACACACACTCACACTCACTCACTCGCTCACACATTCTCGCTCATACACTCGCTCGCTCACACTCGCTCACACACTCTCTCATACACTCGCTCATACACTCGCTCATACACTAGCTCACACACTCGCACACACTCTCGCTCATACACACACACACTCGCTCACACACTCGCTCACACACTTGCTCATACACTCGCTCATACACTCACACACACACTCGCTCACACACACTCACTCATACACTCGCTCATACACTCACACACTCACACTCACACACACACTCACTCACACACTCACACACACACACTCACACACTCACACACACACACACACACTCACACACACACACACACACTCACACACTTTACAGTAACAAAAGCCACTTTTCGACTAGTACTCTATTGTTTATTTTTACCGATAATATTTTCAACTATATTAAGATATAATTATATTCTGCTATTGGACAAATGTTTCTTTTTTCAAATAAAGTGGTCATAAAATTACATATATATATATATATATATATATATATATATATATATATATATATATATATATATATATATATATATATATATATATATATATATTTAAAGTGCATACAGACCATATTGTGAAATTTTAATTTAATCACTTTTTAAATTAAATGAAGAATTAAATTTAAGTCCACGTCCAATATATTATTAAGTATTTTCCCCGTCAATAAATAAAGATATTTCTTTAATAATAAAAATATCTTGCTTTATTCGCAAGATATTTTGTGCCCGTGTCCAGACTAACGGGGCGGCCATGTTTCTGTGTTGAGTAAACATTGTTTCTGCATATTCCTAACAGACTCGCCCGGGGAGGTGCGGCTAGCCCTTGAGCCTTCAGGTTAGGTACTGTGTGACTTGCTGACCCCCCACACTAACACGGGGTGGCTCCCACTAACACGGGGTGGGGTTCCACTAACACGGGGTGGGTCCCACTAACACGGGGTGGGGTCCCACTAACACGGGGTGGGGTCCCACTAACACGGGGTGGGGTCCCACTAACACGGGGTGGGGTTCCACTAACACGGGGTGGGTCCCACTAAAACGGGGTGGGGTCCCACTAACACGGGGTGGGGTTCCACTAACACGGGGTGGGTCCCACTAACACGGGGTGGGTCCCACTAACACGGGGTGGGGTCCCACTAACACGGGGTGGGGTTCCCACTAACACGGGGTGGGGTTCCACTAACACGGGGTGGGTCCCACTAACACGGGGTGGGGTCCCACTAACACGGGGTGGGGTCCCACTAACACGGGGTGGGGTCCCACTAACACGGGGTGGGTCCCACTAACACGGGGTGGAGTCCCACTAACACGGGGTGGGTCCCACTAACACGGGGTGGGGTCCCACTAACACGGGGTGGGTCCCACTAACACGGGGTGGGTCCCACTAACACGGGGTGGGTCCCACTAACACGGGGTGGGGTCCCACTAACACGGGGTGGGGTTCCACTAACACGGGGTGGGTCCCACTAACACGGGGTGGGTCCCACTAACACGGGGTGGGTCCCACTAACACGGGGTGGGTCCCACTAACACGGGGTGGGTCCCACTAACACGGGGTGGGTCCCACTAACACGGGGGACTCCACCCTCACTAACATGAGACTGATCACGCTAACATCTGGCTGCTGACTTTCCCCCCCCCCCGCCCCCACTAACAGCCGACTGGACCCCCCACCTACAAACAAATGGGTGCTGCTACACCTCCTGACCCCCACCTCCTCCCCCTATACTCAGTGGGACCCCCACTGACCCCATCTAACATCCATCTAGACCTGGGGCTATCTTGCCCCCCCCCCCTCTATCCCTTCTCATCCATCCACCCCACCCCCCCTACACCCCCTCCAGGCCCCCTTATCTATTCATTTTTCTGCGCCTGGCCACCGCGGGAAAGGTCAAAGGTCAGATGGTTTTTATAAGGTAGAGGGAGGCTAGTGTGTCTTGGGCCGGGTTGAGGCGGCCATCTTGGGTCAATATGCCGTCCAAGGAGACATACGCGCTCACAGCTGTGGTGCCGTGGTCAACACACTCGCCTTGTAAGCGAGGAGACCTGGGATCGAGTCCGGCAAATATTAGGCACCGTAACATGTAACATATGGACATTATAATACCAGGACACCATGACATCTAGACACCACAACATCCAACCGTTAGGACGGTTGAGAGGCGGGACCAAAGAGCCAGAGCTCAACCCCCGCAAACACAACTAGATGAGTACACCTGGACACCATAACAAACTTGAGGACATTTGGACGTTCCAAGTAAGATGCTGCAAATCACTTGTATAAGAGTCATAATTGCGGTCATTAAACCATGGACATAAACATGTTAATGGATGATATGGCCCTGAGTGTTGCGCTCCGGCAACAATCAAGTGACACTTCAGTGATGTTTTAAGCCCTCACTAAGGGCAATATAGAAGCTTTAGCTGTTCGAGGACAACAGCTAAGCTGGCCTGTGGCCCTCTACCCGAGGGGAGGTCAAGGCGGGTCAAGCCGGGTCAAGGCGGGTCAAGACGAGGGCTCTTTCTACTTTATATTACAACTCGTAGAAATGAATTGCAAGAAAAAGCAAATATTGCAACTGTGATTTTTTTAGTTTTTTTCAGAATGGTTCATTCATCCGGGGATTTTGTAGACTATTTACGTTCCAACGGGTGTTGTAGAGTACTTAATTCATCCAGGTGTTGTAGAGTTTTTAATTCATCCGGGTGTCGTCCACTACTTCACTGAGCCAGGTGTAGGCTGATGACGACCAGGCTGGTCCACTTGGTATATAAGACGGAGTGTTACAGTGGCTGATGTTGGGGTCGTTGTTGGTGAGGGGAGAGGTCGTCCTGCAGGTCTCAGTCAGTGTTGGTGAACAGAGAGGTCGTCCTGCAGGTCTCAGTCAGTGTTGGTGAACAGAGAGGTCGTCCTGCAGGTCTCAGTCAGTGTTGGTGAATAGAGAGGTCGTCCTGCAGGTTTCAGTCAGTGTTGGTGAAGAGAGAGGTCGTCGTGCAGGTCTCAGTCAGTGTTGGTGAAGAGAGAGATCGTCCTGCAGGTCTCAGTCAGTGTTGGTGAGGGGAGAGGTCGTCCTGCAGGTCTCAGTCAGTGTTGGTGAAGGGGAGAGGTCGTCCTGCAGGTCTCAGTCAGTGTTGGTGAAGAGAGAGGTCGTCCCGCAGGTCTCAGTCAGTGTTGGTGAAGAGAGAGGTCGTCCTGCAGGTCTCAGCCAGTGTTAGTGAAGAGAGAGATCGTCCTGCAGGTCTCAGTCAGTGTTGGTGAGGGGAGAGGTCGTCCTGCAGGTCTCAGTCAGTGTTGGTGAGGGGAGAGGTCGTCCTGCAGGTCTCAGTGTTGGTGAAGGGGAGAGGTCGTCCTGCAGGTCTCAGTCAGTGTTGGTGAAGGGGAGAGGTCGTCCTGCAGGTCTCAGTCAGTGTTGGTGAAGAGAGAGGTCGTCCTGCAGGTCTCAGTCAGTGTTGATGAAGAGAGAGGTCGTCCTGCAGGTCTCAGTCAGTGTTGGTGAAGAGAAAGGTCGTCCTGCAGGTCTCAGTCAGTGTTGGTGAAGAGAAAGGTCGTCCTGCAGGTCTTAGTCAGTGTTGGTGAGAGGAGAGGTCGTCCTGCAGGTCTCAGTCAGTGTTGGTGAGGGGAGAGGTCGTCCTGCAGGTCTCAGTCAGTGTTGGTGAAGAGAGAGGTCGTCCTGCAGGTCTCAGTCAGTGTTGATGAAGAGAGAGGTCGTCCTGCAGGTCTCAGTCAGTGTTGGTGAAGAGAAAGGTCGTCCTGCAGGTCTCAGTCAGTGTTGGTGAAGAGAGAGGTCGTCCTGCAGGTCTCAGTCAGTGTTGATGAAGAGAGAGGTCGTCCTGCAGGTCTCAGTCAGTGTTGATGAAAAGAGAGGTCGTCCTGCAGGTCTCAGTCAGTGTTGGTGAAGAGAAAGGTCGTCTTGCAGGTCTCAGTCAGTGTTGATGAAAAGAGAGGTCGTCCTGCAGGTCTCAGTCAGTGTTGATGAAAAGAGAGGTCGTCCTGCAGGTCTCAGTCAGTGTTGGTGAAGAGAAAGGTCGTCCTGCAGGTCACAGTCAGTGTTGATGAGGGGAGAGATCGTCCTGCAGGTCTCAGTCGGTGTTGGTGAAGAGAAAGGTCGTCCTGCAGGTCTCAGTCAGTGTTGGTGAAGAGAGAGGTCGCCCTGCAGGTCTCAGTCAGTGTTGGTGAAAGGAGAGGTCGTCCTGCAGGTCTCAGTCAGTGTTGGTGAAGGGAGAGGTCGTCCTGCAGGTCTCAGTCAGTGTTGGTGAAGAGAAAGGTCGTCCTGCAGGTCTCAGTCAGTGTTGGTGAAGAGAGAGGTCGCCCTGCGGGTCTCAGTCGGTGTTGGTGAAGGGGAGAGATCGTCCTGCAGGTCTCAGTCAGTGTTGGTGAAGAGAAAGGTCGTCCTGCAGGTCTCAGTCAGTGTTGGTGAAGAGAGAGGTCGCCCTGCAGGTCTCAGTCGGTGTTGGTGAAGGGGAGAGATCGTCCTGCAGGTCTCAGTCGGTGTTGGTGAAGAGAAAGGTCGTCCTGCAGGTCTCAGTCAGTGTTGGTGAAGAGAGAGGTCGCCCTGCAGGTCTCAGTCAGTGTTGGTGAAGGGAGAGGTCGTCCTGCAGGTCTCAGTCAGTGTTGATGAAGGGAGAGGTCGTCCTGCAGGTCTCAGTCAGTGTTGGTGAAGGGAGAGGTCGTCCTGCAGGTCTCAGTCAGTGTTGGTAAGGCGAGAGAGGTCGTCCTGCAGGTCTCAGTCAGTGTTGGTAAGGCGAGAGAGGTCGTCCTGCAGGTCTCAGTCAGTGTTGGTGATGGAGAGAGGTCGTCCTGCAGGTCTCAGTCAGTGTTGGTGAAGGGAGAGGTCGTCCTGCAGGTCTCAGTCAGTGTTGGTGATGGAGAGAGGTCGTCCTGCAGGTCTCAGTCAGTGTTGGTAAGGCGAGAGAGGTCGTCCTGCAGGTCTCAGTCAGTGTTGGTGATGGAGAGAGGTCGTCCTGCAGGTCTCAGTCAGTGTTGGTAAGGCGAGAGAGGTCGTCCTGCAGGTCTCAGTCAGTGTTGGTGAAGGGAGAGGTCGTCCTGCAGGTCTCAGTCAGTGTTGGTGAAGAGAGAGGTCGTCCTGCAGGTCTCAGTCAGTGTTGGTGAAGGGAGAGGTCGTCCTGCAGGTCTCAGTCAGTGTTGGTGAAGGGAGAGGTCGTCCTGCAGGTCTCAGTCAGTGTTGGTGAAGAGAGAGGTCGTCCTGCAGGTCTCAGTCAGTGTTGGTGAAGAGAGAGGTCGTCCTGCAGGTCTCAGTCAGTGTTGGTGAAGAGAGAGGTCGTCCTGCAGGTCTCAGTCAGTGTTGGTGAAGGGAGAGGTCGTCCTGCAGGTCTCAGTCAGTGTTGATGAAGGGAGAGGTCGTCCTGCAGGTCTCAGTCAGTGTTGGTGAAGGGAGAGGTCGTCCTGCAGGTCTCAGTCAGTGTTGGTGAAGCGAGAGAGGTCGTCCTGCAGGTCTCAGTCAGTGTTGGTGAAGAGAGAGGTCGTCCTGCAGGTCTCAGTCAGTGTTGGTGAAGCGAGAGAGGTCGTCCTGCAGGTCTCAGTCAGTGTTGGTGAAGGGAGAGGTCGTCCTGCAGGTCTCAGTCAGTGTTGATGAAGGGAGAGGTCGTCCTGCAGGTCTCAGTCAGTGTTGGTGAAGGGAGAGGTCGTCCTGCAGGTCTCAGTCAGTGTTGGTAAGGCGAGAGAGGTCGTCCTGCAGGTCTCAGTCAGTGTTGGTGAAGGGAGAGGTCGTCCTGCAGGTCTCAGTCAGTGTTGATGAAGGGAGAGGTCGTCCTGCAGGTCTCAGTCAGTGTTGATGAAGGGAGAGGTCGTCCTGCAGGTCTCAGTCAGTGTTGGTG